TTTGTCTAAAGAACATGCAAGTTTTATTATAGGTGGTGAAATTTTATATATAAATCAAATACATTAAAATTATAATGAACAAAAATAGGAGGAAAACACTTGATAAAGAAGAATTGAAATAAAATATACAGGTTGGAGAAATATATTGACAAAGAAGAAGTGTATCACTGGAATTATGGGAAAATGGGGAAGGTGGCAGTGAAGGGGAGACTGAGAAGGAGGCAGGACCAGGGAAGGTGAGGAGGGACCGGGATGCAGGCTGTGCAGACAAACCGATTCCGTGGTTATCAGCACCGAAACAGATCACCTGCTGCATTTTCACTGATCAGTGAGTGACATGTTTATCATTTATAAAGATTTATAATTTTCTATAGGTTATACTTGTGACTAGAGAACGTTAAAGAGTCTAGAAAAGATATATCATAGCAGCTTATGAATTGAAAACAATCATATTTTTCCTTCCATAAATATTTTCATGTCTAATATTATATCTAAATTCCTAGGTCTTTGAATTCATTCCTAATACTAGTTTATCAAACACTAATTTTACTTACTAATTTCACAACTGACACTTATTGAGAATATATTTTCCTGTTCATTTTATCATCTTTTCTACATTTCAGTAATGAGTGAAGTTGTTTATTCAGATTTGCGATTCCAACATCCCTCTGAGCAACGGAACAATCAAGAACTTGAAACATCTAAAAAAAACACTCCATCAGATTGTATGAATGAAGGTATTTGTGTTTTCTACATGTTCTTTCTAAAAATTATATTAAAAATACACAAGATTTTGCATTATCATGCTCCTACACATGAGCACACACAAAATTTAAGTGCTTATCTTTTAAAAAGCAGGGAGCATGACTAATAAGGAAGCATCTTCTAATTTTACCTATTTTATTTTTAACAATTTTTTGAAACTGTGCACTAGAAACTGCCTATAATGATTCAGAAATAATTGCATTATTTTCAATTCTACTGAAATGTTCATCTGACGGTATATGTAGTAACCATCAGACTTACATAGGAAAACTTTTTAATGAAATTATTGTGTGTGGGTATGTGCATGAATATACATATTTCACCATTGTTTATTTTTACATAACAATGCCATTAAGTTTTTCTCATTTGTAAGTACTTTCTCGTATGTAAATAAATACTAAAAGTTTATTTTGTTTTTTGGTAAGATTTTTTAAAATTTATTTTTGCATAGAAGAGCTGGGGTACAGGCCAGAGGTTTGGTGTGAGAGGATCCACCAGAAATAGAGTGGGGAGCAGAACAGGCAGATCTACTGAAATACACTGCTGAGGGGAGCAGTGGGTGAGACAGAAGAGGTCTGCTGTGCCATGGGTCGGCTCCCTGGCCTGGGGTCAAACTCAGGCCACTTTGCCCAGGACTGCCTGCTAGGTGCACATGCTGAGACTTAACCCCCTAGGCCACCAAGGAGGACCCAAGCTAAATTATTTTTATACTTAATGTACAAACATAGGGACCTGATGATTAAAATGGCATGTTTGAAACTTAAAGTCCATAATTGTTGAACAAAGTCAGTAATTGTTGACATCTGTAATTGGGAAGCTTAAATCATTTTCTCCTCTAGAGACCAGTAGCTCTCAACTAATCTACAAAGGAGTTCTTGTTTTTCTGCCTTTTCTAATTAAAACTTTAAATCCATTCCTTCATGTGTAGCTTTCTAGACATCTACAAGTAAGAATTGACAAATATGATGATAAATATTTGACTTCATATTGTGTAATTAGGATTTATCAGTGTTTCTTAATGTGTTAGTCAGAGATAACTTCTGGCCTTCAGGTTTCACTGTTTATGAGGTAAACAGGCAATATTTATTCTAAGAATGTGGTGATGTTTTTATGGACATAAAAACAAATCATAGAACCTGAGTAAATATTGAATTAGGCTGGAACTTTTAAGACAAAAGTTATTATTGTTCTGAAAGTGTTACATTATAAAAAATGACAAGTCATCAAAATGAAAAATGAAAGAAGTTATACTGACGATAATTGTACCACTAAAATAACATACATGAAAATTGGGTCTATTTCTTCTAGACCATTTTTGTGTAGGCATAAGTACTTGAGGTATTAAAAAATAATTCAGGTTCACACCCTAGCTCTTGTTTTCATATGACATAAAACACATATTTTCCATACTTTCTAAATATTGGAGTGTCTTTAGATCCATTCTACCTTCTTATCTTTCATTTTTACTTTTACTCTAAGGATGCCTTCAGTCTTTTGCCTTTAAATATCAGCTACATGTTAATTAGTCAACATCTACAAATACATCTTAGATTTCTCCCTGGATCTTCAGACTAAAAATACACAATTCTCAATTCAAATCACCTTTGAGGCTAGTAGGAATCTCAAACATATATGCCAAACTGACTCCTGATATAATTCCCTCTAAATGCTCACTTAAACTTTTCCCACTGGCATTAGTTACTACTTCATACAGTGGTTCTTCATATCCACAGACTTGAAACACCTCTTCGATCATTTCATTGCTTTCAATCTGCATCAGCAAATCCTGCCAGCATTTATTTTAAAATATCAGAATTTCTCCATAAGCACTTGCTTCAAGCCGTCAATCTCTCTTTTGTATTACTCCAGTAGATGCTTACCTTGTGTCTTTCACCTGTCCTTATACCCCTTTCTACATTCACATCTCTTTAGTACCCCTTGTCTGAGGCAACAAAAGAGTGATCAGGGATCATTTATTGAAATAAAGCCAGATTGTCATTCCTGGTTTAATCAGAGAAAAAGCCAAACTCAGACCTCCCTGGTGGCATGAGGGGTTAAGCACAGCCCTGTGAAGCTTTACCCAGCCTCTGCAGCACCAGTTCAATCCCAAGGTGGCCAGGGATGGACTGACACAGCAGGCCTCTCCTGTCTCGCCCCTGCTCCCCTCAGCAGTGTATTTCAGTCAGTCTGCCTGTCCTGTTCCCCACTCTGTCTCTGGTGAATCCTAACACCACCACCACCACCCCCACCCCGCACCTCTGGACTGTACCCCAGTTCTTGCATGCATAAATAAATAAATCTTTAAAAAGAAAATAAAAGAAAAAGCCAAACTCTACTCCCACATCCATCATATACAGCTCCTGCTCCTAGAGGGCATTTACATTTCATGCTTTATTGTTCATTTACATAAATTAGGACTCCTATAAGCTTTTAAAATAATGTGTTTAACTCTCTAAACAAATCTCATATGTTTGGCACTATTATCACTATTTTACAGTTGCAACTATGACAAGGAGAATTTAAGTAAATTGTCCAGTCCATGTAGCTAGTAAGTGGCCTCAACTCCAGTCCTTTGCTTTCTACCTCAGTGCTGTGCTGATCGCTAATTCATGCCTGCTGCCATGCACAGTCTGTCTCAAAACCCTTTTTTAAAATATCTACTCCATCATTTTCTTCTCTCATATTCTGACTGTGTATGTTTTACTCTATCTATTGGTTTCTAAGGGCTTCAAGATAGAAGAATGTTCAACTATCCGAATGACTATCATTCCTTAATAAAAGAGCATTATGGAAGCTGGAATGAATTTCATATCATAGTTCCCATTTCTTTTTTTTTTAAGATTTATTTATTTATTTATATAAGAACTGGGGTACACACCAGATTCGTGGGAGAGTGAGAGGATTCATGAGAGACAGAACAGGGAGCAGAACAGGCAGACTGAGGAAACACACTGCTGAGGGGAGCAGCGGGCGAGACAGTAGAGGTCTGCTGCGCCACATGGGACCCTCACCGGCTGGCTGGGATCGAACCTGCGCTGCAGAGGCTGCGGACAGCTTCACAGCACTGAGCTCAACCACCTGCACCACCAGGGGAGGACCCATAGTTCCCATTTCATGAGGAAGATCTCAAGTTTATTGCAATTATGTGAACTCATGTAATATCAAACATCTGCCCAATGTTGCCTACACACGTCTAAAATAGCACAACGAGGGGCCTCCCGGTGGCGCAGTGGTTGAGCGCTGGGTTGTGAAGCTGCCTGGAGCCTCTGCAGCGCCAGGTGTATCCCTGGCCACCAAGTGTCCCACCTGGTGCACAGACCTCCCCTGCACCCGCTGCTCCCCTCAGCAGTGTACCTCGTCAGTCTGCCTGCTCTACTCTCCCCTCTGGTTCCGGTGAATTCTCTCACCCTCCTGCACTTCTGACTGTACACAGTGCTTGTATAAATAAATAAATAAATCTTTAGAAATAAATAAATAAATAAAATAAAATAGCACAATGAAGCAAGCTAAAGAATATGCAAAGGACTCAATTTTATGTTTGTATAATAGAGGGTTTTTATACAAATGATAGTAATCTTTTTCACAATTGTCTTCATTTTCCATTGTCCAATTATTTTACAGGATATGTGTTTTCTCAAAACTTCATTCCTGAGCTCTTACTAATTTAAATAACATATACATTATTCTTTTACCCAGTAGTCCAACTAACCTCTTTATTATGTATATTAGAGCTTTTTTGTTTTCTTTTGACTTTTTAAAAATATTCATTGACTACTTAAATAGCAATGACAGAAAAATCACAAGTCAAACATGGGAGGGGGAGCTGTCTTTATATATAGATAAGGATGAAAAGTAAGAGGGAAGAGGATGTCCCTTGGTTTTGGGGTTGAAGAGAAAACGGAGGGAATAGTCACAAATATAAATATGCTTGCCATGGTGATTACACATCTTATACAAATTTAATGCTTGAAATGCAAGAAATGACATTTAGTAAGAAATTCAGGTTGGAACAAACTAACTGCCTTTGCTGATTCTACTCTGCAATTGATTTTAGTGATATTACTGGAGTCACTGAAAAATGAAAATTTAAGAAATCCAGATTTGACAAACATTTAGGCTGATGTCACCAGGTGTACTCTTCTTTTTCTCTAGGCCATCCTGCTCCTTCTTCATGGAAAATCATTGCAGTGATTCTGGGGATCATTTCCCTGGCTCTTGTTTCATCTCTTATATACGTAATAATGTGTAAGTCACTATGCAAATTAGAAATACATATTTTTTCTACTTGAATAGTGAAATCTGTTGATGATAATATATTTTGATATACTTGATAACTTAAATAAACATAATATTCTCTGTAAAGTCGGAAGATGCTTCCTCACAAACATATTATCTATTGTTTGTTTTAAAGTATAACATGACCCTTACTTACTGCCTATTTATTCTCACTTTTGCTTTACCAGAAAAGCTTTTTCATGCTGTTGTGTGAACAGAATTTCCTTATGTGATCAATTGCTGTATGACTTTTCATGTTTTTATATAGTTTGAGATTATATTTTTGTTTTTATTACATTGACTTATTCAAGGCAAATAAGTTTCATTAGTTATTTTTATGTAATACAGTCTATGCACATAAAATTGTCCAATTATTTTTAAAACGATCTTTCCAAATTATCTTCAGTTTATTAGTGCTTATTTAATGCAAAAGTTTATCAAAGAAATATCTCCTATATCGAGGAAGCAAATGAAACAGGTAATTTTCAAAGTCTCTGAGTCATCATTTTTTGGCATGAGTGAAGAGAATTCACTTTGACCGAGCTTTTTTGCCTGAAACATACAACTGCATATATGCAAGCAGATATGACTGAAATCAACTGTTGGATGGAATTAGGAATTGGGATTGGGCAGTGTCCAGTCAGGCAAATGGAATGGATCTCCAAGGGCTTACACAAAATAGTGTACTTTAGGGTGAGAGATTAAACGAGGTTATTGATGAAAAGAGAGAAAGAGTATTTCAAGCAAAGCCACCTGTCATTACATGAATTTAAAGGTGTCTCATCATACAGATGAACTCAATGCAAGCGGTATTTTCATTTTTCATTTTCATATTTCCTCTGGAGCACAGTATCTGGCACACGGGATTGTCTAACTATATTTCTCTTTGAGTTAAAATGAAGTCTCCAAATTCTCTTCAGTCAATAAGAAATCATTAAATGCAGAAGAACATCCAGGACATATCTCCTCCAACAAGGAAGCAAGTAAAAGAGGTAATTTAGGAAGTTTCTGTGTCAGGATATTATTTTCAGAAGAGAGCAATAATAACTTTGCATGAGTTATTTTCATGAAGAATTATAACTGTATACATGCAAGTATATATTTGTTTGTAGGCTTAGATTTTCTCTGTAAACTTGCACTGATAGTAGGGACTCAGATATATTCTATCTCTTTTAATAGAGCGGAAATATCCTACTTGTTCAAAGGACTGGCACCAGCTTGGACAAAACTGCTATCATTTCTCAAAAAACCATACCTTTTGGAAAGAATGTGATGGTTATTGCACTAATTTAAACTCAACATTTATTAAAGTGGATACTACAGATGAGATGGTAAAGACAAGATGTGTTTCCTAAATATTTTGAATTTGTTTCAGAAAATTTAAAAATGACAGCAGTCTTTCAAGATTTCATCCTCTAGAACATATTGTATACGGCAGTCACAGGAATCCTTACAATTTGACTGTAATTTTGAATGTTAACTCTAAAAATACACAAGTGGCTTTTTTCAATTTTTAGGATAAAGTACATATAACCTGTTTATTAGTTTTTGGTTTTTTTTTTTTTTTTTAGTTTTAGAAGATTTCATCATGTAAAACATAGTAATTGAGCTTTAGCTGTCTCCACATTGACTGCTGTAGCTTTCTGATGCTCGTTTTGGAGTACTTTGCTTCTGTCGTACTTGGGTGAGAGCCACTCACTGGAGCTAAAAACGACATCTGTAAGCTTATTTGTGTCCCAGCAACCGGATTTCTACATGTTAATCTGACCTCCTCTGTCATTACACACCTCCCAGCACCTGTTCTAGAAAAGCCTGCTCTGGGTTCACGGCCATGAAGTTCTTTACATCCATAAAGGACACTGTGCTCCTTCATGACTTTGTTTCTCAAATTGCTTCTTTTGCCTGTGACACATTTTACCTTCTCCACCTCTCACCACAAATGTCTTCTCTTGGTGAATACATCCTCCTTTCTAATTTTTTTTAACATTTATTTATTTTTGCATACAAGAGCTGGAGTTTAGGCCAGAGATGCGGGCGGTGAGAGGATTCACCAGAGAAAGAGTGGAGAACAGAACAGGCAGATTGACCAAAGTACACTGCTGAGGGGAGCAGTGGTCAAGTCAGGAGAGATCTGATGCGCCATGGGGGCAACTGCTCCTTGGCTGGCAGGGGATCAAACTCGTGTTGGAGAGACTGCAAACAACTTCAGAGGTTTTGTCTTAATCCCTTGCACCACCAGGGAGGCCTCCTTTCTGAGATTTTAACTTAGAAACAATCTCTTGAAAAACATTTTGATCTTACCATGACTCGTTAAAATCCCTGTTAGAATTTCTCTTCTTCATTGACCCAATGTTACCAATCTTATGTCATCCTTCACTCCCTATTACATGGCTTAATAAATGTTGTCTCCCTTTCTTTTTTTGTCTGGTGCCTAATTTAGAAGAGAGTATATAAAGGAAAGTTACACATGAAAGATAGTTAAATGAGTTTGCTCCTCTTTCTTTGGTAACGTCCTTCTTTCAGACTTATTTACCTCTCTCTGCAGGATTTTTTTATGAAATTGGTGAAGATGCAATATTCTCCCTATCAAAAGGTCTTTATCAGTTTATACTACAACAGCACACAATCAAAGTGGTTTTTGTTCGATGGTACAGATTTTACCAAAAGCAGGTAAGTCACTTGCTATTTCAAAATTCCAAAAACAATTTATTTTATTTCAAATCTAAATATGGACAGATGACAGATCTGTAAGTAATACATCCAACAGAAATCAACCAGGAAAATATACAATAAGTGGAACGAAAAAATTAGGATGTTACAGTAGTAGGATAAACATTTAACATTCATACCTCATTTGGATTGCTTATGAGGTATTAAATTCAGCAATCTATTGAAAGTTGTTGAATATAAATTTGTACACAATTCAAGAGTATAAATCAGAGTGACTATTTTAATTGTAGATTTAATGGTGTTGTTTCACTCCAAAACATGTGCTTACAAGGAAATTATCTTGAAGCCCCTCTCTAAACCTCAACCAATAATTCTTACACTTTTCTTCCATAAATGCATTTATATTTGTATTTATTATAAGTCACACATTGAGTGGCTTAAAGCAACAGAAATCTGTTTACTCATATAGTTCAGAAAGCAAAAGCCTGAAGTCAAGTTATTTGCAGACTTACATGGTTCCCTTGCAATTTCTTTTCTCTTGAAAGAGCTGAAATTATCTAGAGAAAATAACAACTTGTTATTAATGACGAACAACAATTTTGTTGTACTGTGTGTACTGTAGAAATTGTTTCTATGTAAACTATTTCTTTACATATAAATATTAATATGTAAAGGAAACATGGTAAATCTCAAAGAAAAATGAGAGATAATAAAAGATCTAAGCCAAGGAAATGGTGATTCTTGGAGTCTCCAAATATACACATCCAACTTCACGTATTTTCTCCTTTGCTTTTTCTGTGGTCACCTCTCTCTAATAAGAAATCTTTCATTGGATTTAAGCTCCAATCCAATAATATTTCATCTGATATTTAATTATATCCATAAAGATAGATAACATCACATATTGAAGTTCTGACATTACATACAGATTAGGGGACATTATTTAACCTCCTACATGCATTTTCATAAGGATTACTGGACATCAACTCATATGATTGCATTAGGCTATTTAGAAGTAGGCATATACTATGCATTCTGGCAAATAATTCCATACAATTATACAATGTATTAGAGTTTGAGATCCATTGTACTCCTTGATATACTTCAATATGCAAATATTTTCACCATGGAATAGGACTTCTCCATCAATGTGATATCAGACCATCAGTAGTTGACAGTGAGGGTAGAAAGAAGACATTTCCAACTGCTGGTGACTAAATTAGCCAATATTAATTATTTGACTATTAAAAATAAAATTCTCCTACTATAAATTAGAAATATCAAAATTTTTATAAAGCTTTCCTAGAATTGTGATAGCAATTGTCTACAATTATTGTGCATGTACTTAACCATCTCATTGTCAGACTAGTCATGCTTTAGGGTTTAGACGTTAAACAATGCAATCATTCTGCATAATCATCTAACCAATGTCTTAATATTAGGTGCCTGTATATCCACTCCAAGTTGTACCCTATTGCAGACATCCTGACTTAAGATTTATCAGTTTTACTCTGGTGTTAAAATCATATGCATTGGTAGGAACTATACTTTGAATTTTGATCATTCAAGATTAGAATATTTGTGGTATACTGTAAAACATATATATATATATGTATAATTCAACACAATGTATAAAGACAATTTGTAAACCCATGTAAAATTATCAGACACTCTGAAAATGCCTCAGGTCATGAGATTATATTTCGAATATAAGGCATTTGTAGCATCAATTCAAGATTTATTAATAAATTTTGATGACAATATATTTAACATTTCTAATGTTGAAGAACTAGAAAAGCAGCATTTCTGCTTTTTTTATCTTGATAATAACATTATAGGTTTAAAATGCAGATGTTATGTGGAACAAATTTAGCATTTAATGGAAATTATTTTCTCCTTTAGCTTTAAAATTGGAGAACTTGCTGGAACTGGTTATAAATGCACATATATAATGGATGACCACGTACGTGCTGATGAGTGCCAAAATTATGGCTATTGTACCTGCAAGAAGACAATTTACTAAGATCATATAAATACATAGGAAAGAAAAAGAGGAACATCTAGGAATCTCCCTTGTGTTTGCTTCAAACGATGGGAAACATTTACTTCCCTTGAAATTGATGTGTTTATTCAATAAATTTCATGTATTATTCTTTAATTTTAATTCACAATATATACAGTAAATTAGAATAAAAACCATATTAGTAGGGGCCACCCCGGTGGCACAGCGGTTGAGCGCTGGGTTGCGAAGCTACCTGCAGCCTCTGCAGTGCCGGTTCGATCCCCGGCTGCTCCCCGGCCATCGGAGGAAGGTCCCACATGGCGCGCAGACCTCTCCTGCCGCCCGCTGCTCCCCTAAGCAGTGTACTTCGGTCCTTCTGCCTGCTCTGTTCCCCGCTCTGGCTCTGGTGAATTCTCTCACCCTCCCGCGCTTCTGACTGTACCCAGTGCTTGTATAAATAAATAAATAAACAAACAAACAAATAAATAAATCTTTAAAAAAAAAAACATATTAGTAACATTGGGAATGATACAAACAAAATAAGGAATTTGAAGGAACATATTTGGGACTGAAATAGTAAATAAAACTATCCAAACTGGCACAGAGTTATTAAGTAATTTTAAGATGTTCAGATTTTCTAGTACTTTCAAAGTAGAACTTGTCACTATATGTGCATACACAATAGGTTATTTAGAACACCAGTCTTCCCTCTGTCTCATTATGGTATCTATGAGAAGAATGAACAGTTAAGGTAAGAAGATAACATTTCAAAATAAAAGAAAAAATATGCTTTTGAGAAGACAAGTTAATGGTTAAATACAGTTCTACAAAGTCAGGAAACATTAAACTTTGTAGGTCACCTAGTTACAAAGAGTTTGAAAATGCATAATGTCCACTGAATGTAACAAAAGGAACAGAATTTATTTGATATTGATTCACCAACAAAGAATTTTCCTGCCCTTGGTCAGGGTTGAGCTGTAAATACTAAGATGAACACATGTAAAAGTTATAGAGCTGTCAGCTTTCCTGGGGCTAAAATTATAGGGAGAATTGACTTTAGTATTCACAATAAAAATGCAAAGCAAATGAACTAAGTTCCTACAAACAGGGAAATGAGAGGATGACAAAGACCTGGCCTAGAAGTAAAAATTAATAGAGATGATCCTCATATAGTAGTGATTCCTCGGGCAAGTTAGGGATAATTAGCAGCTTCAGGGACAGCTTCAAGTCCCTCAGACAGGGACTTCAGGAGAGTTGTGGAAGTTTCCAGAGATAAGGGTAACCAATTCCAAAGGGAACCCCCAAGACAAGGGTTGACAAGACATTCCAGAACAAGGCTGATAAAGAAAAGTATGCTAAGTTAAAGGTTGGGACACAGAGACAGTTCTGGGCACAGAGACATTAAGGCAGTGAGTGAGCCCACTGAGAACCAACCAATCACCAAGAGACTGGTGGAGCTTTAGAATAATTAAGGGAAGAAATTACATATTACCTGAGGCACGACTCCACTTTGGCTTCCTTTCCTTCCCTGACTTGGCCTGGGAGACCCATTTTATATCAGTTCCTTTTCGCCTTAATAAACTTTTTCTTTCTCTAAACAAATCTCCCTTTTTTCGTTTGCTTGCCTCGACATCAGTGAAGTTCCTGCTGAAGCTTCGTGAGACACCAACCTGTGGTGGGTTAGTGGCTGGGATCATTCCTGCAGCCTGGGATCATTCCTGGCTGGGAGTCTAGGCCTAAAATCCTGATATTACAGTATCAGTAACATTTATATCTCAGAATATTTTCATTTGAGAAATGAACAATTTTATGAACATGAGAGAGCTGGGATCCAGAAGTCTGAGTATTTTGGATACAAACAAGAAGCAAGTGAAATGGCCTTGCATTGGAGTGAAGATGAGGGTTAAACCTTGGAGTCGGTGGGTGGGGTAGAAATGGTGTGATACAGCCTGGGGGAGGGAAAGCCAGCAAACACAGAGCTTAAGGACTGAAAAAGAATTTGACATCTTCAGATACTCTCAATCCCTAAAGTTCCCAAACAGACCAGGACAGAAGGAAGTCTCCTGCCCCCTTTCGAGTCACACACTGGGCTGCCAACACCAGGTGACCTGGGCCACAGACCTTTGATATGGACTCCAAAGAAGCACAGGTCAGCTAAAATAAATATGGAAATAGATTTCTATTTTGGTGATAAGATTAATTAATAGCACATATTTAAACATTAAAGTATTCAAGAATCAAGCTTTTGCAATTTGTCAAAGTTGGAATCTCATAGTAATGGAGGTGATAAGAAATAATAATTTAGATATAGACACAAGTGCACACACATATGTATGTATGTATATTCCAACGTATACACAAACCACATTTAGTGACATATTAGATGTAGTACATAAGAGAAAAGGACTTCAAGCGTGACTTTGGTTTTGTTTTGTTTGTGTTAATTTTTGACATAATTTCAAATCAAACATGCCTGGAAAAGCAGTATCAAAGATGGATGTGTATATTTTACTCAAATTACTGAATGTCAAATTGTTTAAAAATTCATTTCATATATTCTTTCTGACATGTCAGTGTATCTGACTGTCTGTCCATGCAATATCTACCTACCTACCTCAGCATTGACAGCTTGTAAGTGTGTCAATTAACCCTCACAGAGTGAGAGTTCAAAACAAAAGTTGGAAGGTGAGTTCTCTAGACTGACAGATTTTTACTGATTTGCATAGCATCCTGCTTGGGTCCTGATGCATCTTACAATTCTTGAGGAGACATTATACTTCCCTGTTCTATCAACAGATTCTGACCACAGAGCTTTGTAATGCAAGGTTTTACGTTCAATAAAAGTTTTGTTTTAAGTTCAATAAAAAGGCTCACTGCCATTTCAGTGATAATTAGCTAAAAAAAAAAAAAATCAAGCTTTAGACATCAAGAAGTGACCAATCTGTCACCTTAGGCATTTTAGTTCAGTGTGAAAACCCAAAGACCCACAACACTCACCATAGAGATACTGTTTTCAGCTACCAGGTGTCCAGAAGCCACAGTGCAACAATAAGCTCTTTGCAGCCTGCACATGAGGTTGTCACTTTAGTGCATGTGAGGGACTTGCTGATGACAAGAGCTATATACAGTAAGGGATAAATTCAGTAATCTGGAAACAAGATGTATGTTTTGTTAGCGTCATAAAACTTGCATTATCAGACTCAAAAGGAGAACGCCTACTTTTACCAAAAAATATATGTACAAGCTAGTTCACCATTGTTTAGATGCTTCTGTTTCTGTGCAGACATCTCACTTTATAAAGTAGCTGTTGTTAATAGTGTCAAGGGCCAAGAAAGATCTAAATGGCCCCACCACTATCATGTAGTATGTTATCTGTCACTGAAGTGTGAATGAGCTATTCCTGAATTTGTCACTTTGGTTTTAATATTTATCTGTTTATTTCACTTGATGGAAAGCAGATTTATTTTTGGTGCTTTTAGTCATTCGAAAAGGGAAACTATCTTGTGTCATCTCTTTGGTCAATATGCCTGACTTAATTTATAACCGCCCAATAAAATTACAACTGTAAAATGATAGCATCTGTTAAAACAACAATGTAGTATACTAAATCCATAATAAAATTTCATAAATATTGGGCAACATGCCAGAGATCAAATTTAATAAAAAAAAAAAAAAACTGTGTTGAATAATATGGACATGAGCATGTCCACCAATGGTAAATTATACCTAATTTGTTTGGAGCTACAAGGTCATCATCTCTATTCAGAAGGGCCAGTCATGTGAATATCAATCCTGCAAACCCTTAAAAAATTTTCAGTGGAACTAAATTACCTTAAGAAGCTGCCTGGTTAATCTAAGATAATGTCAGGCATTTTAGCTCTAAGATGAGGATATGCAGAGTTAGTCAAAAGTAAGTGACTTCTTAGAGTAGACATACTTGTGTGCTTTTCTCATTAAAGAAATATTGCTCATAACAGAATTTCTGGTGCATTATAAATTTCTATATCAGTGTAGTGGAATCCAAAATTGTTAACTGGGATTATTAGAAATATACATTTAGCACAGCATAAGATTTTTTCTGTGTGTGTGCTTAGTGTTAAAATTTTCTAAAATGAGCAACTCAAAACACAAAACTGGTAAGCAAAGGAAAGGATTAAACTTTACCTTGCCTTTTCTTTAACAACATAATCCAGAGTGAAATAAAAATTGCTGGTAAAATTTTTTTGTAGAACATAAAAGCAGGGATTATGTGATTATGATTACATGAGTTTATAGATTTTGTGTATAGAGAAAATAACTTCATGGAAAACTGATGAAATATGTGTTAATATCCTGTGACAATATCCTGTTTTATCATTGTGCTTACATAAGTAAGATATTACTAGTGGGAAAAAATGAATAAGTGTTGCAAGCAAGGTCTCTGTGCTGTATTATTGTTGCTACATTATGTAAAAAAAAAAAAAAGGAAGAAATTATTCCAAAAAAAAGTTAATGCAAAAAAAAAAAAACAGAAGATAAGACATTATATTTAATCCTCCTTATTAGAACAACTATCTTCTTTTTCCATTGCTTCTTATGTCACAAGTGCACTGTTGATTCCCTCATTAAAGTCACATTCTGTTATATTATTTAACAAAATCTTTCCACATCAGTGGTGGTAGTTTCAGAACTGATTGATATATTAAATGTTTTCAAAGAAAGCTCATGGAAGACATTGCTCATCTTGAAAACTTTATTTCTTGCTGATTCTGAATTAGATCTGTGATCCAAACACCCAAATATGTTTCCTAATTGATTACACGAAGAAATAAGAAATTCACTGTCAAATTCTGTGTGCTTCAAAGTGAACCAAAATATGAAGACCAGTGATAGACTGACTCATAAAACCTATCTGGAAAAAAATCAAAACAAATATAAATAAAGGTTTTGAAAGGTTCCACAATTCTCCAATGTTTGTTCTTCTAGAAGTTTAGTGTGTCAAAATTTCCTTGAGGGCCTCCTTGGTGGCACAAGTTGTTAAGCACAGCACAGAGAAGCTGCCTGCAGCTG